GCCACCTTAGGTGTACGTGGCTGGCGCCTTAGCTGGTTGAGCCATAGGCGCCGAGCCGAGTGGCTGCATTTTAAACACACATGTACATTATTTACACGTACTACCTGCCCCCCCAAGCCGAGGATAGTGGTACAGCATGGATACATGTAAAATTTATGGAATTCCTTTATAGTCGACTGACAAATGTATGCCAAAGAGAGTATGCCAGTTTTTTTTTTCTTTTTTCCTTTGGTCAGCCTATTCACCAGAGTCTTCTTGTGTGTCTGCAAAGAAAGGCTTTACTTCCAGGGCTGGATTTGTGCTTTCAATGTAATCCAGAATTTATGGCCCATATTTCGAAGTCCCAAACTATTGAGCATGCAGAAAAGCCAGAACCCAGTGATTATTGGAAAAACATCCCACGTCTCTACTATACATTTCCCTTTCTTGTGCTTGATTATTGATTTGTGAGGCTGTATCAGGGTTTTCCCACAATACTCCTTGGTCGCTTAGGGGGTCCTTCGGGTGTCCTTTGTTTCCTACAGAGAAAGGGCATCAGGAAAGGGCACTTCTCCTTTCTCAGAGGGAAACTTAAGGAAGGCTATTATTGGGAAGCTCAAAACTTGGCAGGATAATTTTCCATCAAGAAGCATGGACCCTGAGTCATTATCTTTGTCAGTTGAAATAAGAGCTGTGTGCAAAATTAGACAGGGATATTTACATAGAGGGTTGTCTTGATTTGACAGTGTGGAAATAGTTCTGGCATTTCTGTTAAACAGCAGCCAGGACCCTGGGAGGGCCTTTGGAAAGGGGAGCTGGTGGGAGTGGAGGAGTTCAGGGGTCTTGCTCTTTCTGGAATTACATGTGTGGGAGAAATGGGAGCCCCGGGAGGTGGTTTATGAGCAGTGAGGGCAGCTTCAGTCCTCAAGGGGAGGCATAGATTCAAAACTCTAATGCAGGTAGAATTTATGGGCTAATTGGTTGGACACAGGGCTGAGATTTCTAGTGGGGGGCGGAGCAGGAATATGTTATTACTGAAAACGGCATTTAGGAGGAGGAAGAGGTGGTTTGGGAGAAGATGGTGATGTTAGCTTTAGACATGGTGGGGTTAGGTGCCTGTGAGACTGTTTTTCCCATCCTTTTGTATTAAGCTAATTTGCATACAGTGAATCTATCCTTTTCTGATGTGCGTTTGACAGATGCATGTAGTCATGTAAGTCCCACCACAGTAAAGATACTGAACAATTCCATCACTCTCTAAAATTCCCCTGATGCCCTTTATAGTTGCCCATAGGACTTTGATGGGATGGTATGTGTGTAATTTGATTTGTTCTAGAAATGGTTTAGATGGCTGAGAGGTTCTGCCTGGCTTAAGACTGGAGAGGCTGAAGCGGCCCAAGAGACAGTGCAGATAGCAGGGAGGATGGGCCTGGGCACCTCCCACTGTGGAATAGGTGGAGGGGTGAGAGGGAGCTTCAGGGAAATATGGGGGGCCAGCAGGTTGGGGGGCGGGCTGAGGCGGCCCACTGGATTGAGCCTACAAAGGGGCCAGGCTGCGCGTGTTGAGGATACAAGTGTGTGCTGTGTCTTTGGGAGACCATGTTGGCCATAGCAAGGGGCTGAGGGGGAAGCACAGTCAGCAGGAGAGCTGAGGGTGGGTTTGT